CATAAGGGATTGAGAGTATGATCAAACAGGGAAGATTTCCAGAGAGAACAAGTAAAAGATTAAAATTAACTAATAGGATGGATGCATCAGTCAGGATGGACTAAGTTATGCTGTAGTAACAAATAACTCTAAAATTTCAGCAACTTAAATCAACAAGAGTTTATTTCTCATTTAAGCTGCATGTCTGTTGTGAGTCAGAAGGATTATTGTGATCATTGCAGTCACTCCAGAATTCAGGTGGTGGAACAGGCAGCCTCTCATCTGTTTCTGGTCACCACATCAAAGGGAAACTGAGTTCAGAAGGATCTCTAGCAATTAAATGCTCTGAACCCAATAGTAACACACATAATTTTTGCCTGTACTGTATTGGATGACCAAGTCACATGGCCCCACTCCCCCAGGAGGTACCAGAGCTATGCACTCAGGAATCAGAGAGTGCTGGTGTCTACCCCAAGGGGCCTGGGAATCGAAGGAGATTCCTCAGAGGTGCTCCTGCCGGTATATTGTTTGCAGAAGTGGTCAGGTCTCCAAATTCTCTCTGATGAAGATCCTGGTCCTGGTAGGAGTGTGACTACTCTTCCTGAGAGTTGAAAAGGAAACTGATAATAAAGCATAGGAAGGAACAATAAAGTCAGATAAGACCATGTTTAATGAGATAATATTCTACTTTTTCTTTCCATTTCTGCTTTTCTGTGCAAGTTTGAATTCTGGCTCCATCTTTTATGAACTCTGTGACTTGGAGGAAGTTCCCACTCTGTGACACAGATTCCTCACTTTATAAAAATGAGCATAACAACATTACAAATATTAGACTTTTGTGGATATTTATTGAGTTAATACAGGTAAAGGGCTTAGGACAGTTCCTGACACACACTAATAAGTATTCCATGGTATTTAGCATCCTTCTTCTTAACAACTCGGTGAGGTAGGCTATGAGTCATGTTGAACGGGCTGGGAAGTGAGACCTGGGAGGCTAAGAATAATCAATATCATGTATGTGGTCACTAGTGGAGCCAAGGTTCACTCACATTTAGGGACTTTGATTCCAGAGACTGAAGTTTACATTTCACATCAAAATCATCATTCCAGTTGATCCCTTCAGTAGCCCTGTGGGCTAGAGTCAACAACATTTTGGCTATTACTGCCATCACTACAACTTCCAGGTATCGCTCATGAAATACCTGTGTCTGCTTTACATAAATTATAGCTAAGCTTCCTAACAGTACCCTGAGGTTGAGTATTGTCACCTTTCTTTTTTTTAATTGAAGTATAGTTGGTTTACAATATTGTGTTAGTTTCAAGCATATGGCAAAGTGATTCAATTATGTATTTTTTTCAGATTATAATCTGTTACAGGTTATTACAAGATACTGAATATAATTCCCTCAAAGAAGTTAAATAGTGCATTAGTCTGCCAGGGCTGCAATAACAAAGTAACACAGACTGCATGGTTTAAACAACATAAGTACGTCTTCTCACAGTTCTGGAGGCTAGAAGTCCAAGATCAAGGTCTTGGCAGGGCTGGTTTCTTCTGAGCCCTCTCTCCTTGGCTTTTAGACGGCCATCTTCTCCCTGTGTCTTCACGTCATCTTCCCTCTGTGTGTCTGTGCCCTAATCTCCTCTTTTTATAAGGACACTAGTCATATTGGATTAAGGTCCAGCTATGCGATCTCATTTTACCTTACTTACTTCTTTAAAAGCCATGTCTCCAAATACAGTCACATACTGGGGTAAAAACTTCAAAATGTGGATTGGGGGGAACACAAATCAGCCTGCACCCAGATGGAGCCAGGATTTAAACATAGACTATTCTGACTCCAAGTCCACATGACGCTTCCACCTTCAAGCCATTAGTAAATCCCTCCTGTATGCTTAGCACAGTGCTTGGTGTTTTCCCTTCCTTTTTTTTAACATATTTCTCAGAGGAAATGTTGGCCCCTTTGGGTAGATGAGAAAATTAGGGACTCATGGTAGGGAGGAATTTCTTCCAGTTTGGTCACTGTTGGTCACCTTGGGGTGCGTTCAGAGCTTCTTACTCTTGACTAAGAAGAAACTTTCTCCCTCCTTTAGCTTGCTCCTTTGGAAATGAGGCAGCCCTTTTCAAATAATGCCATATCCATTACATCACCAAATGTTAATATTTTTTACAGTACCCACTATGTGCAAACATGAGGAAAGGCACTTAACACATAGAAAGCGAAGACACAATGCCAGATGTTTTAGGAAATTGCAACCCAGAAGAAAAGGCAAGTAATAGGGAGTAAAATAAAAATGCCACTCGATGTTCAATGGGAAGTACTGTCAATAAATCATGTAAAAAAACATCAGAGGAAGACAAAACAACTATAGACTGTGTATTCAGGAAAGACATTTTGCCAGGGCGTAAGGAATGTGCTGGGGGTAGGGGTGGCTAGAATGCCAGCAATGACAGAGACAGAGGTTCTGAAGAGGTGTTTGGGGGACAATTTCTGGTCGTACTCTTGCTTATCTCTTAATGGTTCACCATTGTCTGCAAAGTAAATCCAAGTTTCGTAGGTTGCACTTTGCATCAACCATCTGATGCTTCAGCCCTATCATCCACCCCCCACACCCACTGTGTAATGATGGACTAAGAGCCAGTCCCTAAAATGCCTTTCATTTCTGGCTCTGGTCCTTCACTTGTGGACAGGAACAGTGGCAGAAAGGAAGATGCAGGGGCCTCAGTCATGCAGGTCCAAATTCTGGCTCTGCTACTTACTAACTAGTGGGACATTTGGCAAGTTATTCAACCTCTCACTTTGTTGGCCCATAAAATAAGAACAGTAATAACTACCTGGCAAGGGATAGGGGAAGATATAATGAAATGAAGTAAATAAAGTACCTAACTTACCACCTACTCTATTATATATACTCAGGAAATGGTAGTTATCATTATAATAATGATGTCTTCCTTGTGCCAGCAACTTGCTTCTACTGCTTCTTAGCCTAAACAATTCCCACAGCACTTGTTCACGTTTACACCTGAGCGTTATATAACTGCATCCTATTACTTACAGAGAGAAGCAATGCCATGTGGTGTTTAGGAGCTCAGTCCTGCAGTCAATCTGCTTACCATTTATTAACTGTGTGACCTTGGGCAAGTTATTTGGTCTCTCTGTGTCTCAGCTTTTTTACGTATAAGATGGAGAACAGAGCATTATCTCATTCACAGAGACAATTTGAAGATTAAATGAGTTTACACTATAGTACCTGGAATATAGTACCTACTCAGTAAATGGTGGTTCTTGTTATCTCCACTTCATAGAGGAAGAAAGAGGTTATGTAATCTGACCAACGTTGAATGACTAGTGGGACAACAAATTTCAGCATCAGAATTTTGTGTTAGATGACTGTGCTCTTAATCACCAGGCATTTGGCTTCCCGCGTAAATAAGAAACACTTCCATCTCCAAGTCCTTCCTCACTGTCATTATCTGATACACATACTTGACAACTCTGCAGGCCAGGCAACAATCAGACTATCAGACTAGAGATAGGAAGATCTGCCTCCGACTTCCATTCCACTTATAAAGAAATCTGCCTGGATACCACCCACTTCCTCCCTCTACCCTCAACACAGATGCATTTTGCATATGGAAACAGAAGGATCACTGGTAAAGTACCATGTGCAGGGTCAAATGATCAAGACCAAAATCCGGCTCACATTGAGATGACTGCTGATTTTTTGAGTTCCTGCTGATTACCATATCCTGTTAGGCACTGGTGAGGGAGACTGGAAAATGTGTGTGTTCGATTATTTTAGGAATTGGATCATGATTCTCTCTGGCACATGGTAGGTACTCACTAAATATTTGCTGAATGAATGAATTCACAATTAACACACCTATCTACTCGTCTCTCTCCCTCTCCCTCTCTCTCCCATCCATCCATCCATCCATCCATCCATCCACCTAACTAACAAGGCCCCTGCCTCATCTTCATAACGCTCCCTCAAATGGGGGAGAAATTGATGAAAGCAACTACTTACAGTTTGGTGTGTCAAGAGCTGTGATAGAAGGGGGTGCTGTAGGCATCAAGGAAAGTTCTCATGACTCGCAAAATTGTTCATTCTGTGCCACTCAAGGTGCCATCCTGCCCACACCCATATTTTCCATACTAGCACAAAAAAGTCACGGTTTCAGTGAAAGCTTATATAATGCTATAGTTATGCTATTAGCAAGCAGCAACAATCATGAAAAGAACTTTAATACAAATGGAACAAAGAACGGTAGAAATCAGGTTGCATTCTCCAATAAGAAAAAGCAATATATATAAATATATATTTGGGGCGGTGGGGAAAGGTGGTTCTACATGAAGAACATAATCTATATCACGCAAGCAAACACTGCCCTTTCTTAATACTCTGAATCATAGATTCACCAATATTTTTCTCTTGACCAAAAGGTCTTGTTACCTAAACAAGCTTGAACTATTTTTAAAAAATTTTCTTTGTTAATTTTGCTTTCTTAGTTCTTCTCATTTCTCACTCTATTTGCCTTAAGTTTTTTTTGTTATTTGTTTTGGTTTGGTTTCGTTAAAGACACGTCAACGTTTTTAATTAACTGTGTGTTAATTAAATACATATATATTTTTTCATATCTATTTAATAAGTAGAAAGCATAAAGGCAAAAGAAGGCAAAATGGCTTCATCTATACATCTATGTGTCATATGTTCAAAATAACATATTAGGGGTTCCTTGATGTTTTTCTTACTTTCACTTTCCACACCTTGATAGTCACCAAGGCCTGTTAATTTTATGCCCTAAATTTCTCCCAAACTCACCTCCCTTTGACAACCCTTAGTCGCTTCAGTATTTCCAGTCCTCACAGGTGCCTGAACCATTGCAATGGCATCTCAAGTATCTGATCTCCATTTGCTGTCCAGCATGCCATGCATCCCCTACAATGTTGCCAGAGGGGCGATTCTAACACCCAGATCTGATCATGCTCTCTACTAATTCAGTGGTTCTCCATCTGTTACAGGTTTAAGTCTGAGCTCCTTAGTATGATGTGATGGACTGACCTAGCAAGATCTGACTTCTGCTTATGGCTCCAACTTCACCTCCCACCCAGACCAACTAATAGGTAGGGATCTAACAACTCTCCATATTTAATTTTTGTCCATTGTCTGCAAAATGGCTTAAAACTCCTCCTCCTTTTAATATACTGTTTCCCTTGTCTGCTGTTTAGAGTCTTCACGATTTTTGTATGCCTCTTGTTTTTTTTCTTAACTGCCAAAACTCAAAGATAACTTTTATCCTTGCAAAGAGCCTTTATGACTGCCTTTTTACTACTAGGGCACCTTATGGGTACTGTTATCTTTATATATTGATAGATTGTATTGAAATATTTTAACTTCCTTTTTTTCTTGTAAAGTAATATATACACCTTGTAAACCTTTAGAAAACATCTGAATAAGCAGAATGGAAAAAAATTTAAAATTATCCATAATTTTGGCACTCCAATGCAGCTATCATTGACACTTTGGCAGACTCTACCTATAGTCTTTTCTCTAAACGTATATAAGTGTTTATTTTGCAAAAATATATTCATGCTCTCCATATTGTTTTGAAATTGGCTTTTTGAAATGGAAGAGTATATTGCAAAAATTATCTCCTGCCTTTAAAATTATTTCCTAATATCATTGCCTATGCTGAAACGTATTTCCTTGGACGAATGAGATAATTTCCTATTATTTGAACTACAGTATGTCCCAAAGTTTCACATTACAAACAAGAAGGCAATTACTCTCTTTATAACTAAATCTTTGAGTATGATCACCATTACTTCTGTTTGATAAATTTCAACGGGAGGAATTTGTGGGTCAATGAGGACACTCAAGTTTAAGCCTTTTGATACGCATTTCCAAATGGCTTTCCAAAAAGGTCCTATTTATTTGCACTCCCAAAAAACTTACAGGGGTTTGCACTCCCTATAAATATATAGGATATTTGATATGCAATTAAATAAGCAAAAAGTATCTTGTTGATTTAGCATAATCCTTTCTGGTGTATATTTTCCTTTATATATTAAACTTATATATATATATATATGTATATTAATTTTATTAATTGGGCTCTTGAATTCACTTTCCAGTTAAGTATTTATCTTTTTTTTCTCATTGGTTCATAAAAGGTTTTTTATATTGCCCTTTGTCTGTCATGTATGCCTCATAAAAATTTCATTTCTTTTTGCTGTCTGCCTTTGAATCGGAAAATGATTTATGATACAATGCCAATTGATTTGAAATGCTACCAGTATTATATATTGATTCATATATACACTCAGATCAGTTTAAGAACATTTAAAAATAATTCGTCAGCCTGCTCCTCTACCACTACTGTATTTTTAAATTATTTTGGTTCATATCAATATTACTCTTTCTTTTTGTTTTTTTGTTTTGTTTTGTTTGTTGGCTGCATTGGGTGTTCGTTGCTGTGCACCAGCGTTCTCTAGTTGTGGTGAGCAGGGGCTGCTCTTGGTTGTGGTGCACGGGCTTCTCATTGCGGCGTGCGGGCTTCAGTAGTTGTGATGCACGGGCTTAGTTGCTCCGCAGCATGTGGGATCTTCCTGGACCAGGGAACAAACCTGTGTCCCCTGCATTGGCAGATGGATTCTTAATCAATGTGCCACCAGGGAAGTCCCTCAATATTATTCTTATTGTTATTATTAAAATTAAAAGTATATTATTGTAAAGTGGTGCTGGGAAAACTGGACAGCTACATGTAAAAGAATGCAATTAGAACACTTCCTAACACCATACACAAAAATAAACTCAAAATGGATTAAAGACCTAAATGTAAGGCCAGATACTATAAAACTCTTAGAGGAAAACATAGGCAGAACACTCTATGACATAAATCACAGGAAGATCCTTTTTGACCCACCTCCCAGAGAACTGGAAATAAAAACAAAAATAAACAAATGGGACCTAATGAAACTTCAAAGCTTTTGCACAGCAAAGGAAACCATAAACAAGACCAAAAGACAACCCTCAGAATGGGAGAAAATATTTGCAAATGAAGCAACTGACAAAGGATTAATCTCCAAAATTTACAAGCAGTTCATGTAGCTCAATATCAAACAAACAAACAAACCAATCCAAAAATGGGCAGAAGACCTAAATTGACATTTCTCCAAAGAAGATATACAGATTGCCAACAAACACATGAAAGGATGCTCAACATCACTAATCATTCGAGAATTGCAAATCAAAACTACAGTGAGGTATCACCTCTCACCAGTCAGAATGGCCATCATCAAAAAATCTACAAACAATAAATGCTGGAGGGCTTCCCTGGTGGCACAGTGGTTGAGAGTCCACCTGCCGATGCAGGGGACACGGGTTCGTGCCCCGGTCCGGGAAGATTCCACATGCCGCGGAGTGGCTGGGCCCTTGAGCCATGGCCGCTGAGCCTGTGCGTCCGGAGCCTGTGCTCTGCAATGGGAGAGGCCACAGCAGTGAGAGGCCTGCGTACTGCAA